CTGAAGAGATTGGAGATTGGCGACTTCACTCGGTCTCGAATTGCTAAGGTTGAGTCGTGTGGGAGGAGACAGTCAAGTTATTTCTGATTGGGCGCCTCTCCATAAGACAGTGAAGTTTAGGATGGCACCAGTGTGGAAGACAGAGTGACTGATTGCCTCCGCACATATCTCCGCCCACATGATTAACGTGGTTATGGCGTTAGGGAAGGCTGCTCGTGACGAATCTAGGATCTGATCGCTGAAAACGTTCAGTAAAGCAAAGATTCAATAGAAACCCTTGTCGGCATTTCCACAAGGCCAGCTGGTCGTTTCAGCGCTGCCGTTATCACAACGTAAGGAGTTTCACGGTATCTGTGTGAGGGTTTTAGACGTTGGCTAAGCATATTCCCATCTCATTCATGTCATCTTAACTCGTTTTGTTGTCATCAATGTCCAGTTTGAAGTGCTGATGAGTTGTAAACGCAAGCTTCCCTCACTTCTGACCGGTTCTATCCAGAGGCTGAAGAGTCATATAAAGCTTATGAGAACATGGTTTCGCTCGCCTGCTTGAAGTCCGCCGATCTTTCACCATGGGTGAAGATGAAGCGCTCCTGGAGTTACTACGTCTGTATGGAAGCTTCTACGGTATTTATTGGTCCCTTATTCTCTTTCTTTTTCGCTGACCTCACTTGCCTTTGAACTTGGGATGTGCCACTCTTGGATGGTGTACGTACTCGAATTACTTCCGAAACAGATGAGATCGTCTCAGTAGCCAAGATAATTCGTGGCAGTGGGGATGTTTGCCCATCCCCACCTAAGTCCTCCACAGCTGCCTCTCGTGCGGCAACCCTGGAATTGTATGTCCATTCTTAACTTCAACGGTTCCCTGAATTCCGGAATATCGCTGTCCCTATGGATGAAATGAGATCTTATACGGCTGTTGCACCAAACCAGCAATCATTACAGTTTCTTCTCGGAAATGGAAGCAACTAGCAAAACTTAGTAGGCTTAGCAGCCGCGTACGTGAACAGGTTCCTGAAACATGAGAATGCACTACATAAGTGCTGTCTGGGTTCGTATAGTTCGCTTTAGCGAGCTGCACCCACACAGGCTGTTGTTTATATCCTTTCAGTAGTTGGCTGCATAGTCGTTTTCAGCCGGATAGTCCACTCCATACCCCAAAGATAAGGAGGGCGTAGCTATTTCAGTCCATGAGCCTGACGCAGGATGCGTTTTCCAGATGGTATTTCCGTTTCATATGTGTTTTCTCATGTTATTTCTAACAAACACGCGATTGTAATTGTTCAAAAGGGCAACAGCTTACCGAAAGCGCAGTGGAACCACGCCCTCTCAATCTACGAGATATGGCGTTCACCTGGCATAACTAGGGCACCCGCAAGTGCCTGCATTCTGCAGAAAAGAACCTGGACGTTGAATTATACTGTGTAAAACGTTTTTGAATTCAGATTCCGTACCGAATGGCGGCAGCGCCGAACCACCTTCGGCTGTGTCCCGAGTTATGGAATCATCGATGCATTCCTCGTACTACAAGTCAGCGTTCTCAAACCCACAACTCTCAAAGAAAACCGGCAGTTCGGACACATTTGTCATAGTGAGTGCTCTTTTACTGTCGCTCAGCTTTTCTCTGTTATTATCTCCAGTTTTCCCGGTAATTTCGAAATATCGCCGTTTCGCTAGGTGAAATTAGAAGTTATCCGCGTAGCGAACCGAATTTATTTATTTATTTATTGATATATACACTCAAGGGTGCGCCACAAGTTATGGGAAAGTGAAACCAACACAGTTAGTGCATAAAACAGCCAGATACACTGATAAAAAAGAATAAAACATTTAGAAACAACACAACATCATTTAAATGAGCAAAAAAAAATTAGGAATAGTTCAAAGGAAATCTAGGTAAAGCATATAGGCTGTGTTCCGAAGCGGGATCAGAAAAATCAGAAAAATTACCGGGACCTTCCCTGTGTGTAGTGTAAGGCTGTTTTCCCCTTCAGGCAGATGAAAGAGTAAAGAGAATTGCCAATCATTCTGTTGAGAAGCGGGAGTAGCCTTGCATGGGGGGGGGCTATTAGCCGCTTACATAACCCGGGTGCACCAAATTGAAGAATGGTTGTGTAAGTACTGTCTGGCTTTGCACGATTGCTTTCCTCTCTGCGACGAACCGCTCCCGTACTGAGGTTCATTTTATGTCTAACAAATAAGGCTAGAGCTTTCCGAATTACTGCGTTCCCTCATTGTTGTAACTCCCATTTCAGTTAACTCTTGAGTGAGCACTTTTACGTCCTTCCTTCCATAGCATAGTTTGCCCTTAGCGGGGGGGGGGAGGTTGGATCGCCCTTTTCTGCTCATTCCAATTACCTATCAACATTGATCGCCCTGCTCGCACTCCCCCAGAACTTCTAACATTCTTTACTGGCCGCTTGAGATCGGGTACACCCACCGTCATGGGTCGGACGGACAAAACAATAGTAATCTGTCTCTCGCTCTCGGTGACCCTGCGTCGATGCGCAGAAAATTCTCGATATAGACAGGTTATGTCGATTGGGCAGCGAAAATCATATTATTTCGAGTGGAGACAACCTTTTATTACGAAAGATATCAAATATTCCTTCCGTCAATAATCACTTTCAAATGTCCAGGCAGGACAACTCTTCTGTCGCGGGCGTCGTCGCTCGCCACGCCCACCAACGCGGCACATTACGATTGTCTTGTCACATACCCCCGTCGCGAGCCACATATTAGGACAAAAGGACAGGGCTATCCCTTTTACACCAGCAGAGACTTGTGACTTTGATTTCTTCAGTCAGTTTCTAGTTTATTTCAGTCCACCGCTGATTCGCCGACGAAACACTCAACGGTGACTGTGAACGCAATTCAACTGTGCGCCATCGGTGTCATCGACGACAAGTCCAACTCATCGACGACTTCATAGCTCTCGGAGGCAGCATACCGGTCAGTAATCGGTTAATGCTGTCTCTACTGAGCTCACTTTCATTTCTATTCAGGTGGCACAGAAGTATTCGGCTCTTTCCGATCCGATGGCACAATGGGCGCTGGCGACTCTCAGTGCCCCATCGAGGAAGAACGGGAAGCAGCTCGTGAAGCAGCCAGACTTTTCCGGCTTGAAGGCTGTACCAAGGCTGACGTTGCGGAACGACTCAATGATAGGTAGTTTCTTTGATTCTGGGCCTTTCATCAGAGGCTTTTGTATCTGCTATAGGATAACTTCACCTTAGAGCGTACAGGAGTAACTTCTGGCAGTGGCTGGGCTTTCAGAGAATTTTACGTGTAACCATAGACCTTAGTCGGTAGCTAGGGGCACAGGACGCACTAGTGATATTTTTGGAGGCGTCTGAAGGTACCCTTGGGAATCGCTCAGTCCATTCCATTTAGAGCCCTCTCCCCTCTCCGGATGCCCTAGTTTCTTATGGAAGGCCTAGGCCTAGCAATGGCCCATGAGCGCTCTTCTCTAGGTCAGAACATGCCTCAAATGCTGCTAGCTATCGACTGATTCCCAGAAAACCTTTTGAAGAACGTTCTTTACTGAACGGTTATTGATTGAACTCGAAATATCCGCATAGGATGTTGAGGTCAACACGGATTTAGCGTAGTAGAAGACGATTAGCTCTGATTCGGATGCTCTTCAGTAAAGTAGGCGGATGTAGGCCACTTTGGAGTGCGCGCCGCTCAATTAACCGATTAGTGACAGACTAGAATTTTTGAGTACGTTCAGCATCGAAGACCTTTTTTCCGTTTTCAGCCGATTTAAGTGAGAGTGCCACATTTTTAGGATTGTTGAGACCACGTCTTAGACGTTTTACTGGCCCTCTACTAATTTCGTTGCTATAGAAGTCAAAAAAATTAAGTGCAGTTCCGGAACGACTCCACTATGTGCTTTGGGAGTAAAAGGCGCGTAGGCGGAGGGAGAGGGGGGGGGGTGCCGGAGTGAGGAAAGATAAGTACTCAAAGCAAAAAGCCTACCTTGAGTTTCTAATTCTCACAGCCCCTGCGGATACCCTTCTCGCTTTACACCTTTTCTCATCCTGACTAATTTGAAGGACTGCTACTAGTACAGCTTCACAGTTTTATTTTTTGTTGTTAATGCTTTTTTCTAGTATAATTTGTAAGCTTAAGGTCAGAATTCTCGGCAATGGTTACCACCAAATATCTGGAGCTTTTTGTCTTCACTAGTCTACGAATAGATGCGGCCCTGAGAGATTTCCTCTCAAGGTGAGATTTATCGTGATTTTTATGATGTTTTTAAAATTGTACTTATCGATTTTGTCGTTATTTCCACTGACTTATCACGAAGTCATGATGAACGTTATGAGAGTGGAGTATTGCACGTCATACATGAGTAAGGCAAGATAAATTGGCATTGATCCCCTGCCTTCATAATTCTGTTTGTTTGATATTTTGATATTTCATTGATTGGTATTTTTCCGGTTACCTTTTATCAGACTTTTGCTGCCTGGTTTTTCACCGTGGTCCGTGTAAAAATCATTATGTTTCATGAGTATAACCATGATTTTAATTTCTTCCAACCCGCTGTTACAGTTGTTAATATTTGATTGCCCTCTTTACTTTTCATTTAACCTTTTATGACTATCATCTTTTTATATGCTTTTGTGTTGATTTTGTTTCGTTTTGATTGTCATCCTTCGCTATCCCACTTACGCTAATGTGGGCTAGCTTCCAATGAGATTCTGTGTGAAGTGAGTGGTTGGTTTGAAAAGGAATTTTTTCAAAGGGGTGGGGGTCAATCTTGGCCCGGGCCAAGCTTCCAGCTAATCTCTCTCTAGTGGTGAACCTTGTGGGATGAGTCTAGCCTAGGTTGAGAAGAATAAATGGCGCTAATCCATAGAATGATGCGAGCTTTTAGGTAATTTAAATGTAATACGGAAACTTGAAGATTACGGTGTGAAATGCTTACAGAAGAGTTGCCGTTGTTCTCCCGGGATGCTAGACCCCACGTGAGACGGAGAGCGGCCTTTGAGGCGTGGAGGGTAACACAGTCGCATGGAAAACATAAGGTGCAGGTTCGAGTCCTGCCTGAGGTTGCAACTATTGCTCATAATCATCATTGTTGTGATAACTCTCGATCCAATGTTATCACAAGAATGCTGAGTTGTGGGTCGTGCCCCAGGCGGGAGTCGAACCCGCACCTCACGCTTTCCGGGCGAGTGCGCTATCCGTTACGCCACCAGGGCCGCTTTTACCCTCTCAGCTTAACGGCTTATGCCGTAACCTTACAGCACTCACACGTTTAACTTGGTGAGCCGGTCAGCCGTAATCGTTAGATATCGGCATGGAACCGCAAGGCCGAAGGCTTTACAAGTTTTTTAAAGCCTTCGGCCTTGCGGTTCCATGCCGATATCTAACGATTACGGCTGACCGGCTCACCAAGTTAAACGTGTGAGTGCTGTAAGGTTACGGCATAAGCCGTTAAGCTGAGGGTAAAAGCGGCCCTGGTGGCGTAACGGATAGCGCACTCGCCCGGAAAGCGTGAGGTGCGGGTTCGACTCCCGCCTGGGGCACGACTTTTGCCCACAACTCAGCATTCTTGTGATAACATTCGGAACGCGTACTGCGGCGTTAAACAGCAGTTATCATAACAAAACAGCTTCAAAAATCTCGATCCAATTTTTTAACCTTTCTGCAACAATTTTCTCTTCCAGCTTTGTTTAAATAAGTAACACATCAGATAAAAATGCGATTATTACGAAGAAGATTGATGTAAGCCGTAAAAGTGCAGCCTTTACCTACTCGCTTCAGAGTCGAACTGCATGGTGATTCAGCGGAACGTGAACGCCTGTTGCGCTTTTTCTCAGCTCGATATCATCAAAGCGATCCAAGCCTCTTCAAAAGCGTCGGTGAGTTTCTCTTTCCGTAGGTCCAGCAATCCCTCCAACTTGGAACTCTTGGGACTGGTGCAATTGTTACACCCACTCATTAGATTAATTAGAGCGGCAGTTTGGTCCCTTGTTACGGTGAGGGTATCCTGCTTTCGATCCTCCCGGAATGCTCACTTTTCCGTGGTGATAGGAAATGAAAAGCTCTATTCTGCTATTATCACACTTTAGTTCGGGACTCCTACTTCTGCCCTTCATCGAAATAATACTTGTTCAGATGAAGTACACACGCTCACATGTGCTCTGCTACTTCTGAATGCCGATTTACATGGCCAGAATCTGGGAAAGAAGATGACAATTCGAGATTTTATTAACAATATCGCTCACACTGGCGTACACTACAAACGTGATCTGCTGAAAGCGCTCTACAACAGCATCAAAGAGCACGAGATCGTTCACGCAAGGTACGTTCAAAGAGAGTTGGCTTAGGAGGGGGGAAGGGCGGAACTCCCATTGGTGTAATCATTTGGCACTTCAAAATCAACCACAGTGGACTATCAAGCACTTTGAAGTTGTCCCCCGACAAAATATACCTGAAAGGGACGCATGCTGCTCCGGCAGCTGGTTGCATGGTTGGCAGTATGGT